ATGTTACCATTATTATATTTTCATCAGTTGTTATTATATGGCTGATCTTTGTCTCCCCACTATTTCACAACTTTCTCTCAACATTACCTTTGGAGAGGTAATTAAAATGCGATAATTGTGATAAAATCGCACAATCATACACATTGACTTTATCTCAAATCGTTATTTCCCAGTGCCTCCAGAAATTACTGAACCGCCACAACCAAAGCCTTTGCTTACTCTTGGAAAAAACCACGCTCTGACCTGTAATGCGTCCGGTGAGCCTCTACCAAATATAACTTGGGCGAAAGATGGTATTCCCGTGGACAAGTTTAATGTGATAGGATATCACTTTCATTTGATGAACGTGAAGAGGGAGGATGTAGGATCATACCGATGTACAGCTAGTAATGGATATGGAGATGATGCCACAAGTGTCAGCATAGTTGGCATAAGATATAAGCAGTCTTTCCTGTATTATCAAGGCTGTTTCTCTGATTACATCAATGCCTTTGCAAATTGATCATGCTTTAAATTGGGACAGGCACAATTGCATTTTGATTCATGGTTCAATTTCCAGCACATTATAGAAAAGTAGTTTTCCCTTTCAGTTCCCGTAATCTGATCTCATTATAGTTCAGACTTTGTTTACATTTGTAACACGTGAGTTTGATACAGATACCGGTACCTGTGGGTGGATGTCTTTGTGAATGCGTTTTTGTCGGCGGTGCACTGACCTTCATAAGGTTCAAGTTTGATTTGTTAATGTGAGCGGCAAGTATTGCTCAGAAATTTTTGTGTTAAGAAAAGGTTTTGCACGCGATAATTACCTTTCTCTTATCACTCAAGAATAAAGTCTTGAAAATTCTGGGAATATTTTTTCCCGCGCTTTGTTTCAATGGCTGGTTGGAACAGTTTGGTTGCCAAACGAGTCTGATTCAAAACCTTTTGCCTCAGAAGAAAATACAGAAACACAAAGATTGTAAAGACATTTTTTTTTCTTAAAACGTTCTCCAACTCGTGAAACATACTATTTGTAAAAGTGCGTGAAGATAACCATGTCGTTGGGGCAACTGAGTGTATTAGTAAAGGGATCACGCTCTTGGAAGAAAGTATTTTTAAAGTTTTCCAAGAAGTTGAATATTCAACGGAACAGTAAAAGATCATGGAATTGCTATTTATGTAAAGACGTCTCTGTTCTTAGCTTGATATCAGCAATGGTCATTATTGAGTGTTTACTGACAAAAAGGTGGAATGTGTGCTAATTTATAATTTTTTTTATTTTGTCGCACTGTAGGTAATGATTGTAAAATTAGGATTGTTAAATTAACATTACAGAGTGAAACCTGGAAGTCAGCCTTAAATAACAAAGAGTCAGTTGAGTTCAAAATATTGCAGGCTAAATTGTCATCAAATGTAAGTATTCTGCAGCATTTCGCAAGTACATTGGGTGACCACTTTAGGGCAAGAAACCTTTTTATTTAATATGTTCACCATTCTCTGATGTTTGAGCGTAAAATTCCCTGTAAAAAGAATTTGCGTATTTTTAAGATGTCATAATGAACCTGGAAAACCTATGGAAGCTTGTGTACTCGATACTTTTTTTTCGAGGTAAACGAACTTTTAAGTTTAAAAAGTTCGATTTTTTTGGATTTCTTACATTAGGTAGTGAACCAAAAATGCAGAAACGACTTTTTTCATTCAGGATACTCCCAAATAGGTTTAGAGATCATATCTTAATAGCAATGGACAAGTTACAACGATGGCTTGGAGAAGTGGATTAGTTACACATTATAAATGTGTAAATTTAACTCATCAAGTGAGGGAAGTGTTCTGTAAGGTTTAGGGCTGCGAGTAAAAAATTATTGTCTCAGACGATTGGATTAGAGCATGGTTTTTTGCTTTGCGTGAACATTTGAATTCTGAATTTTAGCGTTTTTAGAGTTAAAGATAACTCTTGCTCTTGTATTCAAGATTTCTTCAGTTTACGCCCAAAATCCTGGAAAACAGCTGTACATAGTGAGTCTTGTTGAATTTAGGTAAATGTCAAGCTAAGAACGCTCAGTGTATACATATTTTAATTGTCTTGGAGCAGTCGCTTTGCATCTTGTAATCCTTTAATATTGCAGGATGTAGTAAACTTTAACGGTTTACAGTTTATCGACGTGTTTACAAGTATTTTGAGATATACCGTATAAATATATATATATATATATAGGAAGTCTACAAGTCGATTTTCGCGTGGAACAGTGCTCAATACGTTGAAGCAGAGCAGAATAAATATTATGAGAGGGAAAAAGGGACGCAACTACATTTCCCTAAATTTTTTCCCGACAAGCCTGTTTCGTGAATCGCTTCACTCTTCAGGGGTTTAATTGTATATTGTATATATATATATATATATATCGTGGTTTATTTTGAAAGATCGATCTTCAATAGAATGATGTTCATGGAAAACATGAAAATGTGCCAACCGTTTGATATTATACAAACAGCTTTTATCAGCGAGTTTTATTTCTTTAAATAGAGCTGGCAGTGTTGTTGCCATAGTAGAGCTGAAGTTTGGAAAATCTGTTAATGACCCTTTGAAACCACTGAAAGATAAAATAAAAGATGGAAAGCTTGGGTCATTTATAGTTGGGCCTGAAATTGAACTCCCTTCAACCACCGGTAAACCAAATGGGTTAAACATATTCAAGTATATAAAGGATATTACACACTACTCGGAAATGTGAATCTTACCTCGAATGTTGATAAGATCTATCACATGTTCGCTTCACTCTCTCGTGAGAGACATTATCCACGGGAGATGATAAATTCGTATCCACAACTACACATTTAATGTCCTGTTTTTCGTGTAGATATTAGTTGGATACATTTATGTCAGATGTAATGGAGAGCTCTCTTGCACGTAAGAATAATACATGGGCACGCGTAGATATGGAATTTCTCCCTGCGTGTTCAACTCGATATCTGTTGAGTTGAGTTTAGCAAGCTTTTTATTGCGAAAAAACCAAAGGTCAAAAGTCTTTCGTTTCTCTTTCATGTAGCTTTGTTGTTATTCTTGTTGTTGTTATACTCAGTATAGGTACAAGTTGTACTTAGATATTTATATTAATTATTAACTTTCAGTCGAATCACATCTACACATCTACTCACCTTTACATCTAAATATACGTCTATCTGGCTAATAGTATAAATGTCCATTCATTTTGTGGCGTTAAACGTGTAGTATTTATCAATAATTTGTAAGTTATGGTAGTGTCGCGCAAGCGCAACTGTTACTGTACAGTTAGCGAGCCCAGTTCATGCACTATCGGAGAAATATGATCGTACTTTCTGG